CACACACATATATATATATATATATATATACACACACACACATTCATACATACACATACACACACACACTCACACACATATATATACAGTATACACACACACACACAGAAACACACAACGTTTTTTTTCATTTAACATTTATTTTATTTCAAGTAATGAAAATATTTTTAATGGTTTAAGTTATATTAATATATTAAATATATGAATTAGTTATAATATATATATATAGTTAAACTAAATATATATTAGAAATGTTCCCTGTGAAACTAGCTGAAATAAAATAAGTTTAAGTTTTTTATTATTTATTCTATTTCAGTTAGTTTTATTTTATTTCAAGTAATAATGAATAATAATTAATTGAATAATTTTCAACCAAAAATGATTTGATGGTTTCAGTTTGAATATATACATAGTAAATACAGTGAAACATGAAACTACAACAGGCACTGTAATACTGAATCAACTAAATAAATATTTTGCTGCTAATAGTGCATGTTATAGTTTTGAATATTGAAACTTGAAATGAAAGACATTCTGAATTCTGTCAAACTACTTAAAAAGCTGCAGTTAATGTCCACAGTATTGCTGATGCTGCTGATGACAAAGAGGATGATGATGGAGATGTTGATGCGAAGTGACATGTGGCCAAGTATGGTGACCCATACTAGGAATTAGTACACACACACACACACACGCGCTCTCTCACACACACACACACACGCGCTCTCTCACACACACACACACACGCGCTCTCTCACACACACACACACACGCGCTCTCTCACACACACACACACACGCGCTCTCTCACACACACACACACACGCGCTCTCTCACACACACACACACACGCGCTCTCTCACACACACACACACACGCGCTCTCTCACACACACACACACACGCGCTCTCTCACACACACACACACACGCGCTCTCTCACACACACACACACACACACACACACACACACTGCTGATGATGAAGATGATGCTGATGATGATGAAGATGATGATGACCATGAAGATGATGCTGATGATGAAGATGATGATGCTGATGATGATGCTGAAGATGATGCTGATGCTGATGATGATGATGATGCTGATGATGATGAAGATGATGATGCTGATGATGATGAAGATGATGAAGATGATGATGCTGATGATGATGCTGAAGATGATGCTGATGCTGATGATGATGCTGATGACCATGAAGATGATGCTGATGAAGATGATGCTGATGATGATGATGATGATGAAAATGATGATGCTGATGATGATGAAGATGATGATGCTGATGATGAAGATGATGATGCTGATGATGAAGATGATGATGCTGATGATGAAGATGATGATGCTGATGATGATGCTGATGAAGATGATGCTGATGATGAAGATGATGATGCTGATGATGATGCTGAAGATGATG